TGGCCCAGAGTGCTCTGCGCCGTGAAGAAGCGGCTCCCGGGGACTGGGGGCATTTTGCGTTGGCTGGAGCCGGAGTAACAAGATGGCGGCGTCGGCGGAGTGACAGGGGTCCCTCAGGGCGGGAGCCGGCGGCAGTGGTGGCAGCGGTATCACCGCCCTAACTCACCGCGCCCCTTTTCCAGCCCGCGACGTCGCCGCGAGAGCGAGGCAGTGGCGGCCGCCCGGACACAAGTGGCCCAGCCGGGGAGCCTGGGGGCAGGGAGAACCCCTGCCGCCGAGCAAAAAGAAACCTGACTGGGCGGCCGTGATCGGGTTCCCCTCGGCGGATTCGCGGCCCTGTGACGCCAGAAGCCGGCGTGCTCGGTTCCCTGCCTCCCTCCTCCGCAGCCTTGCTCAGGGGACCAGCCCAGCGGCCCGCGTCCTCCTCTCCGAGGTGTCGGGGCTGGGCCCCAGCCTCCGCCTTCGTCTCTCACGATGGCGAGCAGCAACCGGGGGCCGGAGGGAGCCCGCTCCCCTGGCTTAGGAACCTCTCCCACGCTCCTGCCCTAAAAGGGAAAGACCACGATAGAAAGCTTGGGTGAACTGGGAAGTTTCCCCGTATTGTAATCTATTTTACCGTCGTTTAAAGTGAAAACGGCAAATCTTTTTCCTGCGATACGTGATTATATATTTTTTTTAATTCGACTGGGCTTCTTGTTCTAATCAGGACGGCTTCCGATCGCCCGATTTCTTCATAACCTCTCCTTGGGTTTTCTACATGAATCATTGCCCTGCACTGGAGAGGACGTGCGGATTTCGTCACTGCCCCCTGAAAAGGGCCTTTGAGGCCGGAGCCTCCTTTTATGATGACAAAGGGAGCTCTCTCCCCGCGGCCTCCCACTTTCACCTTCTGGTCACGAGTTGGAGCCTGGCTAATGTCTCCCTTCCTTCCCGAGCGGCATGGAGCCCGCAGGGATGTTGATGCCATTATCCCCTCTCCCCCCCGCAGGAAGTGGCCGTGAAGCTAGAGTCCCAGAAGGCCCGGCACCCGCAGTTGCTGTACGAGAGCAAACTCTATAAGATTCTTCAGGGTGGGGTTGGCATCCCCCACATACGGTAAGAAGAACCCCGGGCGCACGGGTCGGGAGTGGGGCAGAGGCCGAGGCAGGTAGCCGGACCAGCTGCAGCCGGGCCCTGGGACTTGAGTGGTACCTGGTTGCCTTTAGCCAGTGGTTTCCTTTGAACTCTTGGTCGGCACAAGCACCGAGTACATTTCAGTTTGTCAACTTAATGTCGCTTTTCCGTGGCTTGCACTCGGCCCCGTCTGGCGTGCGTCGTCCTTCCCGAGGCGCTGCGGTTCGTGGGCCTGCGGGTCAGCCCTGATCCCTGCGCGGCGGGGTCGGAGGCCGCTTCCTCCGCCGGCACCTCTGATGCGCGGGGTTTGCCCCGGGAGGTGGATGTGGAGGTGCCGAGGGGACCGGCCCCGCCAGCGCGGGCGGCTGTTGGAGCTGGCTTGGGAAATGGCTGCTCTTTTGTTGTGTTTTTGTTCCAACATGTCTTCCTCCTCCGCTTAGAAAATGGCGGAGCGACGTGACTCAACCGCATTTTCCTGCCCTTTTCTCTGCGTGGGTTCGCAAGGGAAGGTGCCTCGATTCCCCCGTTAGCGGACCTGAGTGGATTAAACCTTTGAAAAGCCAAGAAGAAAGCTGCGGGTGGTAGTGGGGTTCAAGGAAGGAGATGGCATAATGACAGTCTGTGATCTCTGCAGCAGATGCGACGTGAAATTACTAAATTATACTATGCGAAGTCCCTCTCAAGGTGTTAATTACTCTTTCAAGAATGGCAGTGTTGGCTGCATTTCAGTCTGTACTAAATTTCTACGGGTAATTGCAAAGGCAGTTTGAGCGCAGCGCTATGTTGAAATTTATACTCAGATCTCAGTTATATTAAAAGAAAGCTTCATCTCGAAACCACAGTTTGATAAGTAACTTTAACCTGTTGAGTTGTCAGTCACATCAGAGAAAATGTTTAAAAGGTTTTAGAATAGTTTGGTTTTTGAGATTAAAGAGTCCTTTCCTAGAATAGATACTAAAAGATAGCTTAAAACCCAGCGATTCTGCAGCAGTTACTCAAAAATAACAAAAAGATCCAGGATAGTTGAGAATTAAGTGGAATTGGTATGTACTGTGGCTTCCTTTTCCAATTTCTATTCCTCCAATCTTGAATTAAGGGCTAGATTACATACATTCATTCTGATGGGGAAACAACCAAATTAACACTATCCTGAAACAATTTCCAATGTTGATAGACATTTTAAAGGGAGAATTGAATAATGAAATGTTCTGTTGGTTGTTAAGTGATAAAGTAAATTATTTGGAAGAAAATCCCAGGTTTATCTTTTGAGATAAAGGTTAATATGAAATCTAAAATGATCCAGATTTGAGATTTTAATTCCCATCCCTAAAAACAAAAAACACCCAGCTTTGTGGGAAAGTAAATTTGTTACTGTGGAATAATGAAAATTTTTATTTAAATACCTACGTATTTTCCTTCTCAAAGAAAATGTCAATTGCATTAGCCTAAAAATTTTAAACTCTTTTCCCTTTGTATGTAATCTCTCCATTCCTGGCCCCGGTTGATTTGCTTTCATCACTAGTTTTTCCTAGAATTTCATGTAAATACAATCATATATGAGGTAACATTTGTGTCTGGCTTCTCTCACCTAGCATAATGCTATTTAGATTTATCCATATTGGGAGATTTTGTAAATTTCACAAGACAGGTTGAATTTAATATATCTGAAATCATTTTCTGAAGGCATTTTAAAAAAGGGGCATTAAACACCTGGCATTTTCAGTGCTGAATCCAAATTAAATACATGCCTTTTTATCCAGTAGCTTTTATTTAATAACGACACTGGTACCTAACAAGAGTAATGGTTAATATACTGAATAAGCAATGATTAAAGGAAATTAACTTGTGAACAAACTAATAGGCATCTATTATAAGATGTGTACCGAGAGTTGTGGCAGTTATAAACTGTCTGTGGGTAGAGCTAGAGAGATTAACCCGGCTTTCAAGTTAAGGCTTTCTGGGAGAGGAGAAGGGATTTCAGGACCTGGCTCTAGGAGAGCTTGGTGAACTGGTTGGGGCAGGCATCCAAGAATAGAGTATGGCTTCTGGGAGTAGTCTCAGGCAGAAATGTAGTAATTGGATGAGGGTGGGGAACGAGTAAATTTGTTTTAGGAATGATAGGGTCAGTACATAGACACAAAAGTGGTTCATTGGTTTTAAGTATGGAAATTATTTTTCCACTGAAGCAGTAAGGATTAAGAAAGACTTAGATAAATCTTTCTTTGGGTGGCAGTTTTTCCCCACATTACCTACATATTATATACACTCAGTATTTATTTGGTAAATAGTGAATTAAACTGACTTTAGCTAGATTGAATAAAGCAATCTGTATGTTATCCATTGTTTTAGATGTGTTGACACTCCCTAACCCCCATTTTCTTTAATATACTTTGATAGATCTGAAAAAAAGAGCTGCAAATTACCTGACCCACATAGCAGACCTGCCTAATCAGGTCCCCTTACCTAGTAAGGACCTTATTAAAGTATCTATTGTTACCTAGAGACATAGCATCCAGTGTAAAGAGCAAGAGTGAGAGGATGACATTCAGTCTTTTGATATTTTTAAGAAACTGAAATCCTTGGACCTTGTGAATTGGCCTCTGGGGGCTCAATTAAAATTACTGTGTTTCTGTTACACACTCTCTTTCTTTGTGACACTCTGAATTAATGTGTTCTCCAAAGAAACAATTATGGTATAACCAAGCTCTACATCTGTCATGTGCAGACTGAGTAATCTGGGGTTAGTCAGTGCCTTAACCTCTTTGGGCCTATCATTTTCTTAGATCTGTGAAATAAAAAGGTTATTACCAACTTAGTAATTTTCTAATTTTGTTAGAGTGGGAGAGTTCTGGACAAAAAGGTTTAAGGTTTCCTACTCTTCTGGGAAAAGTTTTGCTTATGAGCTTTTGAGCAGGGATTTGTTTCAACAAGTTTCCCTACTTAAAGTCACTGACCTAGTTGATCTCAGAAATTTCAACCCTGACATTTTAAGACTTGTTTTCAAATAGAAGCTAGAAACCATTTCATCACAGTTTGATGTCATGTTTAGATCTTACCTTTGAATGTTATTTAGTAACTAGAGACACGATGCACAAAATTCATGGGGGGGGGGGCCCCTCAGCCCGGCCTGCGCCCTCTTGCAATCCAGGAGCCCTCAGGGGATGTATGACTGCCCGCTTAGGCCCGCTCCCCATGCTCACCAGCCATGAGCCCAGCTCAGCGCTTCTGGCTGAGTGGCACTCCCCCTGTGGGAGCACACTGAACACCAGGGGGCAGCTCCTGTGTTGAGTGTTCGGTCAATTTGCATATTAGCCTTTTATTATATAGGATGAGACACCACTAAAGATTCTTAAAAATGACATCTCTGTGAGGGAAACCATAGGTTATTGTTTAGAAGGAAGTATATTAGTCAAATCTACTTTTATAAGGAAATCATGAATAAAGAAGTTGGGAGGGGCATAGGACAATTGTTCCCTTGTATTTTTAACTCCCCCCCCCCCAATGTCAAGTATTCTAGAAGATATATTTAAAGTACTAATTAATCCTTCCTCTTCAGTGTTAAAAGCAGCTTAAATTTTAATCTTAGCTTTTTAGCACTGAGGATATATCCTGTAATAAGTTCTAATGCTGTTATCAGAGAACAAAGGTGACATCTGTACTGGGTATGTCTTTATTAGAAAGATCACTGAATGCACGAGAAATGTGATTTGAACTCATAGGGTAACTGAATCCACACTATACTAAAGATGCTTATATTGGCTTATAATGGATTCCTAGTTATGGAATGATGTAATGATGCTTAGGTAGCATTTTTGACTGGATGAGACCTGAGAGATACAGCCGAACACCTCATAATACAAATTAGACTGTTGACTTTCAGAGGGGTAGTAGAGTCTCCTAACTCTGAATTTTCCTGTGAACCATTTTCACTTTATGCCAAGGTCAAGTCATGCCAGTTCACATGCCCCATACCTTTTCATTTGATGCTGCAGAGCCATACTTTGCCTCCTTCACTTTATGGCGTTGGCCTTATACAGAGAAACTGGAAAGCTCTTCTATAAATGGATTGCTTGTATTATTGTTTAACTAGATGCTTATAATTCTTGTTCTCCCTTTTCAGTCTGTGGATTGCAGGGTGAAAACTTTTTTTGTATTTTAAATTGGAGTAAATATTTGTGAACCCATGTGTAGTATAGTACATGGATTTTACTACCTTGGTTTATTTTTAGAGTAGATCAGTTTGTTTCAAAATATATTTAAGCTGTACCTAAAGTAACATTTACTGGTAGTAAGGTTTTCTCATCTGTCAATGTTTATAGTAAGAATGTTAATGTCAAGAATGCTATAAAAACAAAACTAGAATTTGAAGCACATGTTATAAATTGAATATTTTATGCTTATTCTGTTTATATTAAAATTAGTCCTTGAGTTTAACAGAAGTTTTTCTGAGGTTAAATGAGTACCTTAATAGCTTTCATAATACAATGATTACCTAGTTTAAATGATGCTTTTTGTTATTTTATTTCCAATACTATCTCAGGTAGTTCTTGAAATGTTGAATCACCAATAATCATACAATATGAACTAATGCATGTCCTAATGGGATTTTTTTTTAATGTGGTGTAATTTACAGAGTGAATGTTCAGATTTTAATGTGCCACTGAGTTGGTTTTAACAAATGCATGCACTGGTGTAGTCCCTACTGAGAGAAAGAATATTTGATTTTTTAAAAAATACTGCTAATCTTCAATAAAGCTATATATATATATATAAGTTGGTCTTTTGGATTACAGGTACATATTATTTTTTCTGAACTTTATGTTATTTATGCAGGGCTGCAGGTTAGTAATATATATTAACATGAAATATACTGTTAGATTTACCTAATAAAATAATCAAGTGCAGTGGTGAATGCTTAGTAGCAGTTGAGCTCTTTGCCTTACTCTTTTGAAGAACTAGAATACTGCTTTTTTCTTCTTCTTCTTCTTATCTGTAAGGTATTAGTGGAATGCATTGTTTTAATGGGGGACTTCAGAAGTGCTGTTTAAAAAGGTTTAGCATATTCCGATCCTCAATATAAAGGGAAAATGGGAAAAGTTACAATGAGAATTAGGATTCTGTCTGTGATGTCATAGATTTGAACCTGAAATGAAGACTGTAATTTGTAATGCCAGCTTTCATTTATAAAAGGGATTTTGTAAGACCAACTAGGTCTTAAGACGTTTTTTAAAAATGCATTATATAAATTGATGGGATGATAAAGATAAAAGATACCTCTTTCATTCTCTGATGTAGTAATAATGTGTTCTTACTTTAATGTATGGTTGCCTTTTATTCATCACATTGATAAATGCTATTGAAATAAGTGGGTAGTTGGTTCACTTCATTGTGGCTAAACATTCCTTTTTATGTCTTCATGCAAGAAAAAATATATACTTGCCCATTATTCAAGTATTGTCCTGGTCTTACTTAATCATTACAACAATCCTCTAAGTTGGGGTTTCATGTAAATTGTGCGTCAAAGTGGTTCACTTGCTTAAAGTCACATAGCTAATATGTTATTTGAGTAGATTTTACTGCCTTTCAGTTATACCAATGGTTCCCCAACTTTGCTGCATATTGGAGAACTTTAAAAAATACTGACACCTAGCTTCTAGCTAACCTGAACTACTTGTTTTGATTTAATTGATGTGGGGTATGACTTAGTCATCATAATTTATAAAAGCTCTGGTGTGCAGCAAAGTTTAGTAACCACTGTACTGTACCATATTTCACAGATTAATAATAGTGCTTCCCTGTTTACAACCACCGACTCCCATTTTTTCTTAGAACTACAAATTGATAAGGATTCTTACTTGCCACCTCCTATGAATTAGATTAATTCAGGAAACCCTATACTTCCAGGAAACAAAGTACTGGAAAGTACACTGTAATCTCATACTATCAAATACTTTGATTTCTGAAAACCAATATGTGAATCATTTTCCTGTTCTCTTAGATGCATTCCTACAGAAAAGCATTCTAGAAATTTCTTGAGGGAAAGAACTGTGTCTTGTTGATGAAAGTACCTTTTATGATTCTTAGAATAGTACTGGGGAAAGAGATGGCATGATTCATTTTATCTATGTGCATTTACTTTTTTAATGGAGCCCTGTAGAAAGTTATGGCTCACATATAGAATTTTAGGAGTACCTGCATTATTAACTCCAGTTCCTATCAGGAATATTCATCATCTCTGTATTATTTACAACTAGAGGCCCAGTGCACAATTGGGGCCGGGTAGGGACCACAGGACCGTTCCAGGGTATGTCCGCCTGTCTGGCCCAGACCCAGTCCCAATCATCCGGACCCCAGCAGCAAGCTGACCTACTGGTCTGAGCATCTTCCCCCTGGTGGTCAGTGCGCATCATAGCAACTGGTCAAACAATGGTCGGACACTTAGCATATTAGGCATTTATTACATTGGATTTCCTAAATATTCAGCTGAACTCACTGACAGCCAGTTTACAAAATGTAAACTAGCGTGTTTAGGTTTGAATTCAAATCATTAAATGCCAGTATCCATTAATTTGACAGTAAAGACTTGCTGTTGTGGACATTCATCAGATTAGGTGTCTATTAGCATCTCAGTGGTGTTGACATTTTGGAATTTATTTTGGTTCTAGCTCAGCAACATCAGGAAGTTAATTTCCCTATACTTCCAGATAATGGAGGGGATCAAAAAAATAACTTTTCTCCCACCTTCTAAGTTCTAGCTGAGTTAACATGAGAGATTAACAGGAGAAAATATCCAAAATTTACTGTGGATGTATGTGCAGGGGTGCTATAAAAATATGAGACCCAAAGGAGCATTAGGCTGTTGAGGTTTTTACCAAGAAATGGGGGCAGAGGCCTGAGATTTTAAAGCCCACAATTTGCAGGTGGATGAGAAAGAGCAAAGATGGTAAACAAATTCCTGTTGGCCACCCAGGAACAATGGTACACAGAAGAAAGTTCAAACAGGCATTGCTAGGTTTCTCCCACTCTGCCACATTTCATATTATGATGCTAAGCATGTTTCCTTCCTTTAAGCAGGAGTTTCTATCTGCATTTCTTTAGGCAGGTAACGGGGAGAGTGAAAGGTTAATTCAGAGTCTTGTTTTTTAATAACCTGCTTAAATCAGTATTTCCAAAGGTATATTTTGGGGTGGCAAAACTTTGATTCCCTGCACAGACTATTCTGTCCCTTAGGTGGCTTTTATGAAAAGACATGTTGAGTTTAAAGTGACAGGGTAACCCAATTTCGCTCATTTATATAGTTAAGTTAGTAGAAAATTCAGAACTAAATTTAGGCCAGGGAATTAGGAATGGGGGTAGATCCGAGCAAGATTAGGATAGAAGAGATAGCAGAGAAAGTAAATTGAGAATGACTGGTGGAATTCAAAGTTTATCAAGGGGAGAGTTGGGATAATGGGCTGTTGAAGTCAGAAGAAGCCAGTTGTTAGGAAGAGGTAATATACATCCAAGAAACAGACAGGAAATGAGATTTTTAAAAGGTTTGGGGTTTTGCTATGAAATGAAGCCCAGTATATAATGATGTTTAGTAAATATACATTTACTAAATATATTTAGTTGACTCAATGGTATGTTCTGAGAGCAGTTTGGGTGATGATGTCAGGAGTAAACTTAAGAGACAGGGTCTTGAAAATGTAGATGCTGTGAACATGGGTATATTATGGTACTGATTCAGAGCTTATACTTTTTAATTGTTCACTGAGGACTGACATGAATAACCTAAAGATGAGAAGATAAACGGTATAGGAAAAGAAAGACATTTGCCTATTATAACTTTAACTTTTAAACTTGTATAATTATTTGGCTTATTTGAATCAAACGTGAATAGGTGCTTGCTTTGCCTTTAAACTTTCAGTGCAGAGAATATTCTGCATTCCTTTTGTTTTCCTTACCTGTCAAATCAAGCACTTAGTGTTTTACAGTCTCTTGGTTTTTCATTCTCTAATTCAGCAAATGTTACTGAGCATTTCCTGTATATAAGGCATTGTGCTGGATTCTGGGACTATAGAGTTGTGAACAAGACAGATATAGTGTCTGCCTCTATTGTATTAGGATTTTCTTTTTTGTGTTTGTTAGGATTTTCTAGAGAAACAAAACCAATGGATTATATATAGGTATACTGAAAGGGATTAGGAGGGATTGCCTCACACAGTTATGGAGATAAATCCTGTGATCTGTTGGTCTGCAAGCTGGAGACCTAGGAAAACCAGTTTAATTCTAGTCTAAGACTAAAGGCCTGAAAACCAGGGGTATGGATATCATGAAGAGAGTAAATTCTCCCTTCCTCCATCTTTTTTGTTCTATTCAGGCCCTTCACCTTGGGGAAGATGCTCTTCTTTATTTAGTCTGTCATTCAAATGTCATTCTTGACTCAGTGGTAGTTGTCACTGACGCCCCAAAATAATGGTTTACTTAGCTTCGCTTAACGCAGTCAGGTAACCATAAAATTAACCATTACATCTATCAAGTTGATACTTTAAAGGGGAGGACCTACATTAAAAAAATACATTTTATTTCTGTTGTTACTGTCCTACTCATAGGAATGGAACATAATTGGGTGTTTTAATCTGAACTGCATACTTATGAAAATTACACTGATTTGTTGCTCTGGGAAGTCCTTAGATCTCATAGCAACACGTTATTTATTCATTTGTTTGTTTATTTTAGTCATTTCTAAGATACTTCCATTTTTATAGAGAATCCTCAAAAAAAAAAACCTTGCCTCAAATCTCCAACTGTAATATAACACGTCTAGTTGGTTCCCCATACCACTGTCATTCCTTCCCTTTCTATTTTCATATTGCATTCTGATGCCAAGGCTAATCCTAAAATATTGATTTAATTATATTAAGTTCCAGCCATACTCTTGATAATTTCCCCAGTTATTTATAAAATTTAAAAGGTCTTTACAGCCGAAACCGATTTGGCTCAGTGGATAGAGCGTCGGCCTGCGGACTGAAGGGTCCCAGGTTCGATTCCGGTCAAGGGCATGTACCTGGGTTGCGGGCACATCCCCAGTAGGAGATGTGCAGGAGGCAGCTGATCGATGTCTCTCATCGATGTTTCTAACTCTCTATCTCTCTCCCTTCCTCTCTGTAAAAAATCAATAAAATATATTTTTAAAAAAAGTGTTTGTGAAATTATGTGTAAGGAATTGCATGAATATACGAAGTATGAATGTGTGTCTTTTACATTTCAGGTTTGGATTGGCTTGGATGGTTGTTTATTGCAGCTTTGTCAGCAAGCCATTGGTGCATATCTGCTGATATGCAGAGGAGATGTGGTCTTTTGAGAGTTGATTCATGCTTTCCCTTTTGTCTTTGACTTTTTGTGCTTTTCCCTCACTCCCTTCACTCTTTCTGGATTTGGTGTTCTTGTATAGAATAAGTTCTCTTTTTTAATAATATGAATAAATTAGGTTTATACTAAAACTAGTATCCCGTTGCATGAAATTCGTGCACATTAAAAAGGGGATTAATTGCCCTAACCGTTTTGTCTCAGTGGATAGAGCATCGGCCTGCGGACTCAAGGGTCCCAGGTTTGATTCCGGTCAACAGCATATACCTTGGTTGCGTTCACATCCCCAGTGGGGAGTGTGTAGGAGACAACTGATCGATGTTTCTAACTCTATCCCTCTTCCTTCCTCTGTAAAATGTCAATAAAATATTTTTTTAAAGGGAATTAATTAGCAGAGATATTTTAATATTGCTATTTGCCCTTTCTTTATAATATAAGTGTGAGAGATGAAAGGAAACTAGTAAAATATATAAGAAAATAATATATAAATATATCAATAAATAAACAGTAAAAAAGATATAACAACAGAGGCATGATATAAAAATGACAAAAACATGATATGAAAACAACAGAAACATGATATAAAAACAGTGATGCAAACAATGACTGATAAAGTGATTAAGCTTATTCTAATATCTCCCTGTACACCACATTAAGAGTGAAAACACTTTCAGAGTGCTTGACTAATTTCCCTTGTGATGAAACAATGACTGATAAAGTGATTAAGCTTATTGTAATATCTCCCTGTACACCACATTAAGAGTGAAAACACTTTCAGAGTGCTTGACTAATTTCCCTTGTGATGAAGTATTTAGAACTTTAACTGTAACGTCACCTGCTTTTCAAACTCAAGAGAAAGCAACATAACTGACCATCTGCGAAAATGGGTTCAGGTAGGAATATGCCTACTTTGTCTAGACCTTGTCCTTGTGATTTATTAATAGTCATCACAAATGCTGGCATCACGGGAAACATTGTCGAATCAATTTAAATGGGAGGCAGTGTCAGATAGGGACAAATTCATGGAATCAGAACAACCTCTCCCTCTGCAGATCCTGTTAATACTTCAGCTTCGATAATGTTAGGTCATAATCTTTTGATAATAAATCTGGTACCATTACAAAGACTCCATTTACTATTGAGATTTCTCAGTAGCATGATGATTGCACCCACTTTCAATTTTAATTATAGTATTTCCAAAGGTAGTTTCAATAATAGATCCATTACAAATCATTTCACTTCCACGCTCTGCTCTGAGGTCAGGTTCCTGCCTGAAAACTCGCCCTGAGGGCTGGTTCCTGCCTGAAACCTCACCCTCCAGGAAACAGCTGTGGGAGGGTGCAGCTGTTTCCAAGACGACCCCTGCAGGACTGATTTCCTTCCGGTTGGTCATGGTTCTGGCCGTGATGTTACACCCAGGGTTTTTATATAAGTAGATTTTGGTACCGTTTTTATTATTGGGCATTTATAGTGGCAAGAACTGATTTTGGAAGTTCCTGACAGCTCTCTAGCTCAAATTTGCCTCTGCAATTAAGTAATGGAAGAGGGAAAAGGGTGGGGAAAAAGGGAAGGAGAACATAGCATTCACCTTGTTCATCATTTACCTTTTAAGATTATTATTATTATTTGTTACATGTTACTCACTTCTTCCTCTTTCACCACTGCGAGCTTTTCCTTCAAGTAAATGTTTGAAGGAATGTGAAGTGTTAAATTCCCATATGGAAAATAAGGAAGGAAAAGGGAAAATTATAGAACATTCTTGTACAGCAGGTTCTCAAATAATGTTTTGTTAAAACATTGATGAGATACCATAGGAACTTAACTCTTGTTTATATCAAGAATTAAAATATCATATTTTGTTTTGCTTAATTTTTGCATAAAGTCACAAAATCTGTTGGCAATGTTAAGTGAATACTTATTGTAGGTAACAGTTTTGGGTACAGTAAGGGCAGACCAACTCTGCCATAGCCACATCTGTTGCTTTTCTTAGGCTTAGTAGGCAAGATTTCTTCAAGTTTAAGCAGAAACTCTGTCCCCACCAGGATACCTATTTCTGCAAATAGCATGTGAAGTGAATTCCTTCTGTGTTTGATGGCAGTTATTCATGTATCAAGTTTTCAAGAACAGTTGAAGCTAAAGTATAGAAAGGAACATGAACTTTTGTTTTTTAGTTTTTACTTTTTTTATTGATCAGAGAGAGAGAGAAACATCAATTGGTTGCCTCCAGCACACGTCCCAACTGGAGACTAAACCCACAATCTAGGTATGTGCTCTGACCAGGAATCAAACCTGGTCAAGGGATGATGCTCCAAACAACTGGGTCTGAGCCACACAGGTTAGGGGAGTAATGTTGATTGTTTAGGAAAGTACTCTTATAATCATACTAGTGGCTCTCCGCCAGCTCGCTGCCCCCCCTCCTGTAGCTCTCCACCGCTCATAACTCACTGCCCCACCCTCCTACTGATATGTGCGGCCCGACCAATTTGCATATTAACCTACTATAAGTATAGATAGAAACTTGAAATCATTTATTGAAGTGATTCCAAGTCCTTGAAGTCTCTGAAATTAGCAGAGTTATTGGGGACAAATTTTTCCACAATACAGCATGGGATAAGGAAAACATGATTCCCATTGAAAACAAGTTTCATCTTTGTTGTAATACTGGTTATTATCTGTAATCTGAAACTAAGCAAAAAAAGGTGACTCCTTTAAAGAAATAGGATAAGTAATTATTGATTAAATATTTGGTGGGGAATGGGACAAGAGATATATTATGAGGGATCTTTGCTTTCTGAAATGTTTTGAAATGACTAATATGCATAGTTTTCTTCATTTCTTCCATTAGAAAGTAAGACCAGGTGAGATTAAAGAACTTGCCCAAGGCCACAGGAATCAGTGGCAGATGTGCATAGGCTTCAGCTGTCCTATAAGAGGGGTGTTAACTGCCAGGCAAGACTTGTTTTAATAGGACAATGAGGTCACTTGACAGAAGAAAAGTCACCTTACCCTTACTTTGTGTTCAACAATGTTCTTACTCAGTGCCTTTATCATCTGAACCAGAGAGGGAAAACTTATTCTTAAGGTTTAAGAATTTAAAAAAATTTGGTGATATTAAGTGATAATCAGCTTTTCATAATGCCTTTGCTTTTCCTTTTTCCTTTTTGTTTTGTTAGGTGGTATGGTCAGGAAAAAGACTACAATGTGCTAGTCATGGATCTTCTTGGACCCAGCCTTGAAGACCTCTTCAATTTCTGTTCAAGAAGGTTCACAATGAAAACTGTACTTATGTTAGCTGACCAGGTGTGTGAAATTTTGATGAGAATATGACTGACTGTTCACCACTGTTTAACTTTAGGATCAGCAAATAAGATAAACAGGAGGATGTACTCATTCAAGTGTACTACTCTGATATGAGTTGTAGATGTTTTCCGATCAGTATAGGACAAAAATGAATTATGCTGGTTTACTACTCACCTCTAGACTGGTAGTTTTCATGGTGCTCCATCAGATGAAGTGCATTTGTTTTAGTGTTGAATGTAGCAAGTTTCCTTATAAGATTTTGTTTGAAGAAAGGGTTCAGAGTATAGTACATAAATATAAGTAAATGTACATATTGAAATTTTGGCTAAATTGAACAGATTGAATGCTATGTATTATGTCTGGAACCTTATGAAAGCTATGTTTTAATAAAGAAGACACTAAAATCAAGTTTTTTTATTTTTTACTTTTTAAATTTTTTTGGCCAAATAGATGTTTTTTTAAGTGATGGAAACTCAGCCATTGGTAGAATTTAAGCAAAGTTGGAATTTTTTGAGGTGTCATGAATTCAATCTATGCATTGGCTAATGTTAGATTAAATTGTTTTAAAGCCAGAGCTTAGGTTTTTCTTTTTATAAGAAAGAAGATGTGTTTTAAAGAATTTTAAGATACGAGAATAGAGTCAGAAACAAGCCTTATGGAAACAGGTAATACATATAATTTTTAATTTTGGTCAAGATACCTTTAAGAGCAGGAAACTGTTGGAATTGGGTCAAGTTAACTTAATGTGTAAAATTGCTGTGGAAGAGAAAAATGTTTTAAAAATTTAGATCAGATATCATAAGAAAGTAAAATGAGATGATAAACAGAACTAGCATTTGAGGTAGAATTTTAGGAAAAATACAAAGGATTAGAAAGTAGTGCTCGCTTTTTTTGTAATCAGCGCCTGATATTCCCCAAGTTTAACATATTAGTAAAGTAGTGTTCTATTTGTGGCATATTATGGGCTCAAACATTAAAAAGTTTAAAACCTTTTAATATGTTTGAGCTAACATGTAAGTGAATCCTAATAAAAGTTTTATATTCAATAGCCTCAGTAACACATAGGCATTTATAAGGAAACATTTCAGGGCCTGCTACTGTAATTAGCACTGGGGGAGAGGGGTATGAAAAAACATAACTAGTTCCTTCTAGGAGCTTAGAGTTTACTAGTATTAGAGAAAAATGGAAAAATACAGTGTTCTAGGTTCTGTGATAAAAGTATATTCTGGGTACACTGGTTGAGAAGGATAAAGAATAATTCAGGATGCAGAAAAGCATTTGTTTTAGCAGGTAACAGCTAAGTCTTGATGATAGGCAACACTCAAATTAGTCTAAAGTTTGTGCCATTGTCTTTCCCCCAGTGTTTTCCCAGTGAGTTAATAGTTACAGTTTAATGAAGGGTATTATTTAGCTACGACGAATGTGTACGTTAAGTGAGCCAAGTGGTTTGTTTAATTCTAAGTATATCTTACAGAATAGGTAGACATATTTGATCATTTGAAGTTAAAACTTTTTAGAAGAGATATCATAGTCAAAAGACAGGTTTTTAAAAAATGTAAATCTATTTACATAACAAATTACAGATAGAAGATTGTTATATACAAAGAATTTTTGAAAAATTGACAAGAAAAGAACAAGTCAAAAGAATAATGGACAAAAAATATATATATTGACAGTTTATAGAATAGTAAATTGAAATGATCAACACAAATGAACAGATTTCCAAACTAAGTGTTAGGGGATAATTGTCAAAGTGGCAAAATTTAGAAAGAACTGAAATCACTTTACTAGTGGGATAAAAGAATACTCTCATATACTCCTAGTCGAAAAATGAATTGTTAATAACCTATTTTAAAAGGTACCTATCAAAATGAAAAATACCCTTTAACCCAGCAACTCTCCCTGAAATTGTGTGGAACTTATAGCCCATAGAAATAAAAGCACTAGTAGGTAGCATATTTAAGTTTATTAATATAATTATTGCTTACAGTAGGGAAATAATAACAATACTGTGAGTTGGGGATGATTGGGGAAAACATATCTACACCACAGAATATTTGTAAGACCTACACCATTTGACTTGATAGAATTTTCAAGAAAAACTTGTCAGATGGCATGTTAACAATTCAGATTTTGAATATGATTATATTAGTGTGGAGAAAAAAATGGGGGCATCCAAAAAATGTTAAAAAAAAAAGGGGGGGAAAGGAAATCCAGCATGTATACGGCCTCATTTATATAAAGTCATATGCTTATTTTGTATGCTACCAACTTCCGGGAATGTTTTGGATATGTGTAGTTAAAAATAAATAAGCAAACAAGAATAAAGTTAATAAAGTGCTTCTATTTCAGTTTAAAACAATAACAATTTATAACTTTTATCATCTAATTCAAATCGCTTGACTCAATTTTCTCTTCCCTTTTTCTTTCCCCAGATGATCAGTAGAATTGAATATGTGCATACAAAGAATTTTATACACAGAGACATTAAACCAGATAACTTCCTAATGGGTATTGGGCGTCACTGTAATAAGGTTAGTCAAATGTTCTTTGCATGAAAGAACACAGAGTAAAAACTCCAAGAATTGCTTTGGTAAACTTGCGTTTTTTAAAAAGTCATAGTAAATTTAATTTGCTATTGATAATTGCTTTAAAATATTGTACTAACTAGAAGAATATCAGCTAACTCTTATTAACTTAGTAACTTGAAATAAATTTTCTCCAACTTACCCAACCAAGGTTAGTTATTTATATGAAATATAAAATTCCCAAGGCCTTTATAATGAAATGTAATAATCTGTTACTGAACTATTGAACAGTTTTAGCTACTTTATATTCATATGTGCTTGTGCCAGCGTGGAAACCATGGTGTTGACATTTGCTGACTGAGCATGGTTGATAATGAGCATTCTTCAGTCCTTGGATTTCTGTATTCAAAAGGATAACTTTTGGGCCTGCTTCAAAGTAGTTGACATTTTTTTGGGTGCCAAGTTGGTGGATTCTCTATCCTTTCTCCCCCTTTCAAAGGAAAATATTAAGTGGAATGAATATTCATACAACAAAATTAGTGTTCATTGGGGTCTCAGAGCTGTTGAACTTTTGGGGGATGGTTGGGTTTTAGCTAGTGACGCATGATTGCAGTTAGAAACTAAATTGTGTTAACTTTTTCTGCAATTATTAGTGTATTGAGTGAATTGCTTTATTTATCGATTGATTCATTGTTGAGCTCGGGCAGACAGGCAGCATTGGCAATACACTAAGCATATTGTGATCTAATGATCTGATAGAAATTCTCAACTTCAGGACAACTTGGAGGCTTTTTGGTTTTTTTATGTTTTTTTTGTTTTGTTATGTTTTTGGAAGGAAGATTCCCATTTGATTTATTAAACCATTAAGAAATGTTTGGTGTTGTAGGTCTAGCTATATATGTTTACCTTTGTTTGCCTGTATGAATGCCAACTTGGAGCTATTAACCATTAGAACTGGTATTATTTGTTAATGTGTGAGACATTAATGCTGGTCTGACCAAGTTTTAGGAAATTAAATATTTTTGTTGGAAGCTGAGTTAAATATTTAAAAAATAAAGGTGTTTAAATCTATGTATAACTTACCTTGACATTCCCAAATTGCATCATCGTTTTTTTTCTTTTTTCTTTTTAAATATTATATTGCTTCTCTCTTTGAAGCATCCAGGTTCTAAATTGTTATTGCCAAACCTGGTAATGTAATTGAAAGAATTTACTGGTCTTAATTTTGGGGCAGTTCTGTCAGTTTGACCCTAATCTTTTGGGCATTTCACAGCCCCCCCCCCCCCCCCCAAGATCTGTTATCCTCATGTGATCTGTATTGATATTGCAGGACATGGTTTTTTGCCTTAAACGAAATTATGATCTGGATAATTCCTCTTGCTTCCTCCCCTCCCCCTTTAAAAATAGCTTGTTAATCACACAGTTGTGTTAGAAAGTCCAAATTGCCCAGTGATGAAAATCTTTAGGATTTTGTGTCCTCTTTAGAGATATTAAATAGGATACTGTGGAGCTCCTTGCTGTTACACAGATTCAGAGAGCCCCTAGGGTAGAAGCACAGTGTTTGAACTTAGCTAAGACTCAAATTCTAAATGTTCTTGAGCATTTTAGACTAGTGTTTTGTTTATGTAGTTGGTTTCTAGTGTTTTCTGTATTGTAGTTTGAAAAATGCCAGTTGTATGAGACTGGATTCTTTGGTCAGTTTGTTCCAGTAGTTTTCTATTAATTGGAAAACATAGTTTTGGGGGGCTTTTGAGGTTGACTTTTCAAGTAAAATTTATTATTTTGAAAATTGTTCTGAATTTGATGTTTAGGAGTGGCCACTCCAATCTTAGTGAATTTGCTCATCTCTTCCAGTAATCAGCCCTGCATGCTTATGAAAATAAATTTTAAGGTGACTAAATGCCTTCTACCTCTTCCTTACTGAAGATTTTTTCCCCCCTGTATAATTTTTGGGGAGAGAAGGGCAGATTATGGTACTAAAGATTACAAATCCAAATTCCCCATTTTTGATTAAAAGATTAAAGAGCCAAATGTCACCATTGCTATCCCTGTTTCAGGCAGTGACACATTATAGCGGCATTAAAAAACCTGAGTATTTTCCAGAATTCAAATGTTCTTAATCATGTGATTCTTATTTGGAAAACTGAGAAGCTCAGTGCTTGGTGGAAGAAGGATGGCATTTGGCTACCCTGTTCTTTCTCTAATGCCTCGGTGTTGCCTGTCTGCGCCGGCCATTGTTGCAATGTAAGCAATACTGTTTGATGCACTGCCACCCTCTATTGTCTGTTTAGTGTTTAGAATCTCCAGTGGGGAAGAGGAAAAGAAGCATGACTGTTAGTACTTCTCAGGACCCATCTTTCTCAGGATTAAACCAGGTCTGAAACTGTCTCCTATTCCAAACTCAATCCCAAATTCATGTGCTTTTCTTTTTTTATTGTTTTATTTTGATTATTTTTGTTTTGTTTTAATTCTGGAAAATGTAGATCTTTCTCAAGCACCTCTTACGTTGGCATTATTCAGACATACTTGGCAAACATAACATTACTAAGATGTTTCTTTGTGGCTTTCGCTTAAACTTCTAAAGTTTAGAGAAAACCTAATGAAAACAGGATTATGTTTAGATCTCTAACATCCATGTAAGGAAATAATATGTTAGTCTAGTATGGAAATTCTTTACTTGGTGATAAACTTGAAATAGACTTTTTAGTTTAAAAATGCATTTGGAGTTGCATAACTCAGTGCATGAAATACATCAGTACTGAATGGTGAATATATTATGCCTTAACTCTCTTCTCCTTCCCTAATGACCTTCAGGTAAGTGTAGGTCAGATTTCAGTTCTACTGTTTCTAGAATTGATTTACCTCAGTAAGAACATATGCTCTGGAAATAGAAGACATTGCATTCTAACAATATAACAATAACATAATTAAACAATTGCCATTAATAACACACAAATTAAGTGAAAGTATAATCTGATGATTTAGTGTTTGGCAGTCTAGATAAACACCCTCATAATTTTCTAACTTTTTAAAACGTAAGCAGAACTCTTCACAATCTTTACATTTGTAGATATTAAATGTTTCTTCCTGGATGAATTTTCAGACTAACAAGGGGAAATAGGTGGGTTTTTTTCTATTTAAATAATAGTTTTTTTAATCATAAAATTTAGGTAAATTTTGAAGCTCAAGAGCAAATGAGTCTTTATCAATTTAAGATATACTGAGAAGGAAGTATTGCCATGAGTAATTTATTTTTATTTTTTTTAAAATATATTTTATTGATTTTTTACAGAGAGGAAGGGAGAGAGATAGAGAGAGAGTTAGAAACATCGATGAGAGAGAAACATCGATCAGCTGCCTCCTGCACGCCCCCCACTGGGGATGTGCCTGCAACCCAGGTACATGCCCTTGACCGGAATCGAACCTGGGACCTTTCAGTCCGCAGGCCGACGCTCTATCCACTGAGCCAAACCGGTTTCAGCTGCCATGAGTAATTTAAAAAAGAAAGTTGTATTTTATATGTGAGCATATATTGTAGTTACTTAGTTACCACATGCATCATCTGAGTGATATGTAATTTTTGTCCATACTACCCAGCATTATTTTAGGGGCCACCTTCTCTTGCTGTCACAAAGGTTTCATAAATTTACATTTATTTTTATTCATGGACAAAGAAGTAGTACCAACTGTGGTGACTAGGTTTGGTTGGGGAAAGAGGGAAGTGTTATAAGTGTGTGAGGCACATTGTAAGGCAAATTTGGTTCTCCTTTTTTACTTATTGATTCACACATTTTTCTTGTATTTTGTACTATAATTATTTAATAATTTCCATGAATTTTTTTGAATTGTTTATATTCTCTATAGATTAGCTGGGTTGTGAGGAAAAGTGTGACTTTATTGAGTCTTTGGAAGGGCAGGGTAATGTGACCCCTGGTTAGGAGAAATTGCTGCATATACTAAAAACTAAAATTGGCAGTAGTGTTTCTGAAGAAAATGCACCTCTATTGAATAGAGTTATCCCAGTATATCCAACATTAACTCATTTCCACATGCCTTTGAAGAATCGTGCTGTATTCTTTAACACAGGAAGAAATTTTACTTAGAACATACTTATTTTTAAAACCCACAGTTTTGCTTGACCCAGCAAAGAGATTAGGCCTCTCTTTGCATATATAAACCTATAAAAATGCATTATCTTATGATTTACTAAATACTGACTTCCTTGTTTGTTCTACCTTTACATATTTGCGGCTGTTTGTACCCTTGGTATCATGTGGTTTCATGTATATACTTCCATTATATGTTTACATTCATTTTTAAATTCAAAGCCTAGAAAGCTACTAAAGATGCTTAATAGATCTCAGAAAATGATGAGATTTTAAAACTTTTTTAAAATCTCTTTACAAAGAGATTTTAAAACTTTTTAAGATTTTTAAGTAGTTTTTCTTTCAATTGTTTGCTCTTAAAATAGGATACCTTTGTTTGGCAGTGACATTACTTTTCCTGACTTAGATTTTACAAGAGAAATTTTTTAATTGATTTGCTTTGTAGTATTTTGTTTTGATACCGATGATTGAGATGTTTAAGAAGATAGTGTTCGAATGTTTTTTGTTTTCTTCTTTACATTTCATCCTTTAGAGTTGTGGAAGGAAAAATACTCTAGTGAACAGTTTCTAAAGCAGTCTTTTTAGTTGTGAGAAAGTGTGTGGTTATTAAATTGCACATCAGCTTCTGATTGTCGATTTATACACGAATGAAGCTATCAGACATAATCATGTCAGAGATGTTCCTGTTTTCTCTACTTCGAAGTAATGAATGAAGAAATCCTGGAAAATAGCCCTTAGAGGAGAGTCTTTTGAGCTCGGCGTGTCAGCATTTTGAAAAACCCTAACTTAACTCTGGTGCCGTGTCACATATAGAAATTTTTTGATCTTTGCAACCATAGTAAAACAAAGATTTATATTTTTGATATTTATTTTATATATTTAAATGCCATTTAACAAAGAAAAATCAACCAAAAAAATGAGTTCTGAAACTGTCTACTATTCTCATAGGTTCGCCATCACTGTTCTAATCACTTCTTATTCAAAATCCACATAATTCTAAGGGATATTTTTTTAAATACTTTGAGGCTGGGTGTCCTTTTGTGTTTATTTTTCCCTTGATTGATTTTCTATATGAATCTGTGGAGCTTAAGTCATAATTTCTGTTTTGCCTAAGAGAAATATTTTGCTCATTTTGATACTTGTGTATTAAACTGATACTCATGAAGACAAACAGCATGAGTTTTTTGTTTTATAACACTTTATATTTCTATAACTCAGTTGCTTAAGTTAGTGTCTTTATAAGAGCTTTCTTTATTCAACTACATTTTACTAAAAATTTAATCTTCATTTTTATAGTAGTAAATCAAATAAATATCACATTATTAACATAGTTACAGAAGCTCAAACCTCATTGTCTTTTTGATCCAGCTTAAAGCTGAGACTAGGTTAACAGTGCCTGCCTGAAATAGGTATTTTTCATCCAACTAAGAGAAACACTTGGTCAGATCTTTTTCACTTAAATTAATAACTTGCTTTATTTTTTGACACAAACCCTAACAGACTAGGTAATCAGGTTTTCCAGCATGTCACAAATTATAAACTGTGACAGAAGGAACCCCAATGTCAGCCTAATGGAAAAAACTACAAAATTTAGGCATAACTAGTAAAGATTAATAGTCGAGGGCCGTGGTCGGCAAACTGCGGCTCACGAGCCACATGCGACTCTTTGGCCCTTGAGTGTGGCTCTTCTTAAGCCTTAGGAGTACCCTAATTAAGTTAACGGTGTACCTACCTATATAGTTTAAGTTTAAAAAATTTGGCTCTCAGAAGAAATTTCAATCGTACCATTGATATATGATATTTGGCTCTGTTGACTAATGAGTTTGCCGACCACTGGTCTAGGGCTATGTTAGTGTAAGGGCATATAGACTTGCTTTGCTTAATAATCTTAATGTGATTTTATGATAAAAGCTGCACTTTTAAGTAAATATTGTTTATTTTGCTTTAGAATGTAGGTAAATGTGAACATATTTAGATTTTTTTTGTCAAAAATAGTTTGGTTTGTTTTTTTCTTTTAAAGGTGTTGGGTTTTGTTTTGTTTTTAATATATTTTTTATTGATTTCAGAGCAGAAGGGAGAGGGAGAGAGACAAACATCAATGTTGAGAGAGAATCACCAACCAGCCGCCTCCTGCATGCTCCCCACTCGGGACCGAGCCCGCAACCTGGGCTTGTGCCCTCAACTGGAATCAAACCCGGGACCCTTCAGTTTGCAGGCTGATGCTCTGTCCACTGAACCAAACCAGCTAGGGCTCTTTTAAAGGTTTTAATTATGGGGAGTAAACGGCAAATTACTTAAAAATCAACATTATAAATGAGTATCTTAATCTCTTTGTACTATATATGAGAGTGCACTAAACTTTATTTTATAATACTATATTAGTTTGGGTTTTGGTTAGGTTATCTAAACTGCTGATTATAAGCCACCTTGATATTAAGTACTTTTTAAAGATTTTAGGTCAACTTGTTATAGTTTCTAGAAGTTTAACCTGATCACATGCATAAATGTCACTTCATGAAGTAGAATATAATGCATGCTTGTTTAAAAAATGCTTATTTTTTGTTAATAAAAATGTTGGTTTTTCTTGTTTATATCCAACTTTGAGAGCTGTATTGTTTACCAGTAGTACCTGGATATCGGGTTCCATTATGGCACACAGCACACAGGCCTCTGGGTGTGGAATGAACTGAGCCTGTGAAATTGTTCAGTTGACAGAATCAAACACTTGACCTAACTATTTTTTTAAACTTGATTTATTGATGAGGACTAATAAAAGCTTATTGGAGTGTTACGTTTGTTCATGATATCTGTTCTACTTATGATACTTTGATGTATTTGAACAAAGAAAGTAGATGCCATTTAATGAATAAAATAGTTTAATTGAACAAGGTGGAAACCTAATAATGTCTTTTTATTTTCTTTTAAAGTTATTCCTTATTGATTTTGGTTTGGCCAAAAAGTACAGAGACAACAGGACAAGGCAACACATACCATACAGAGAAGATAAAAATCTCACTGGCACTGCCCGATGTGCTAGCATCAATGCACATCTTGGTATAGAACAGAGGTGAGTTTGACAGTTGAATGTGTTAATAAAATTCATAGCAAAAGCCATTATGTGTTTTTTTAAATATTTCAGTTAGTTTCTTACGGTATCTAAAGATATCTCTTGGCTGAGGATTTGAAGGTTGCTTATTAAATTTTTTACCTGCTGCTTTAGCCAGTGCAGAGAAGCCAATTAAATTAGGCCTTTTTGTTTTCTTTGTTGAAGGTCATTCCTTGGGAAGAAAAATACTGCATGGTGAAAAGTTAGATGCAGAATGCAATTTTATCATGATGTTTATATTTACAGCTGAAGATAGTACTTCATTTTCTTGATGATCTTGAGCTTTTATGTTTTAGTGATACAAGTTGAGTTTTGGGGAAGACTATAAGTTATTTTTATAAGGAAAATGTTATCTGAGTACTAATGAACCAAAAGGGGTTGGTGGATCATCTTCTGTCCTACTCTTGCATACCATAAATTAATAGCATCTAGTTTGAATAAATCTTCATAATCTCTGCTGTTTCTTGGCTTGAGTTCTAGGTTTTCATGTTCTCCATCTTTTATAAATCATTTTTTTGCTCCTTAAACCAAGCTTAGAGAATATCCATGAATATCTGAATACCCTGGGTTAAACTGATTTCACATTTTCTATAGGTCAAAGTATTACCAGTTCTTAAATATATAGATCTGTCTGAATGTATGTATGTATGTGATAGTTGACCCTTGAACAACTCTGAGTCTGGTCTGTTGAATGTGGTCAATTGAAAGAAGCCTGCATATAAGTAGAGCCTTGCATTTCAAACCTGTGTTGTTCAAGGGTTGAGAGAAAGAGAGAGAGATCATATAGATGTTTAATTAGGTTTACATTGTTAATTTATTTCAGCCTCAATAAAGTTATGAGGTTCTGCAAAACTTAACAAGAGTTCTGCTCTTTGGTTTGGAAAGTTGTTTAGCTAAATCCTTTTTGCTCTTCTCTAAAAATTATGTTGGGATTCTATGAGTTTTATTTAGAAGTAACCCATTAATGAACTTTTTTATTAACTTAACTATGTACCTTGTACAAGACACCAAATTGCTCTCTCCTCACTTGACAAAATTCTTCTGTGTACCTGGCTTTCTTTCACGTTTTTCATAATAATTTCAGCTTATAAATTTACATTTTCTTTTCTAGTCGCTGGGATGGCATGGAATCATTAGGATATGTTTTGATGTATTTTAATAGAACCAGCCTGCCATGGCAAGGATTAAAGGTAAACCAGACTCAAATGACCAGTTTTTGTTTTTTAATTTATCTTTATTTTTGAAAGTATTACAGATGTTTCCCTTTTATTCCCCTCTCCACCCCACACCCCCTCTTTTGTTTTAAGAGTAAAAATAATATTGGGGATGAACTTTAAGTCTCTTTCAAATAGGAGGTGTTCTAAAATGAAATTACTTTATTTTTACTTTTTATTGGGAAATAAAATCTGATCATTTCAGTAAGAATAAGCTGATAGAATCCCACATTCACACTTGAAGAACACACCTTTTTTGGGAGACAGGAAGCCAGGTACCCATTGGCAACCAGAAGCTTTATCTGGATAGAAGTTAACATGGGCTAAGAACTTAGGTGGAGACGTTCTCATTTTGACGTGTTGCCATTATACTTTTGTGTACAGTAAAACTGGTTTAGCCAGTAATACTAGCTGTATTATTTAATTACCGTATTTGCCAGCGTATAAGACGACTGGGCGTATAAGACGACCCCCTAACATTTCCACTCAAAATACAGAGTTTGTTATATACTCGCCGTATAAGACTACCCCCTCTTCCGCACACCTTCCACACACCAAATAAAAGGTAAAACAATATCAGATTTGATTTTAACATTTTAATTTATATTCAAATGCTTATGACATGCAGGAAAACTGTCACAAGGCTGTATGTAATCAAACATATACATAAAACAGTGCAAGTTTATTACCGGTAAACATACCGGTAATTCACTAAAGAAAACACACTCTATAGACTGGTACCGTAGATGCTTCTCAGGAACACAGGCAAGCAGCCCACAACCTAGAGGGACTGTCAATGATAGAAGAAAGAT